GCATGCCTAAAATCACGGCCCCTTCCAATGTAGCTTTTCACGCGCGATGGTGGTGAGTTCTCCATCGCAATGGTGAATTCTCTATCGCGGTGGTGAATTCCCCATCGCGATGGTGAGTTCTCCATCGTAATGGTAAATTCTCAATCGTGGTGGTGAGTTATCTCCATCGGGGTGGTGAGTTCCCCATTGCGGTGGTGAGTTCTCTCCATCACGATGGTGAGTTCTCTCCATTGCCGTGGTGAGTTCTCTCCATCGCGATGGTGAGTTCTCTCCATTGCGGTGGTGAGTTCTCACCATCACAATAGTGAGTTCTCTCCATCGCGGTGGTGAGTTCTCTCCATCGCGGTGGTGAGTTCTCTCCATCGCGATGGTGAGTTCTCTCCATTGCGGTGGTGAGTTCTCACCATCACAATGGTGAGTTCTCTCCATCGCGGTGGTGAGTTCTCTCCATCACGATGGTGAGTTCTCTCCATCGTGGTGGTGAGTTCTCTCCATCGCGGTGGTGAGTTCTCTCCATCGCGGTGGTGAGTTCTCTCCATCGCCACGGTGAGTTTTCTCCATCGTGGTGGTGAGTTCTCTCCATTGCGGTGGTGAGTTCTCACCATCACAATGGTGAGTTCTCTCCATCGCGGTGGTGAGTTCTCTCCATCACGATGGTGAGTTCTCTCCATTGCGTGGTGAGTTCTCTCCATCGCGGTGGTGAGTTCTCTCCATCGCGACGGTGAGTTCTCTCCATTGTGGTGGTGAGTTCTCTCCATCGCAGTGGTGAGTTCTCTCCATCGCGACGGTGAGTTCTCTCCATCGTGGTGGTGAGTTCTCTCCATCGTGGTGGTGAGTTCTCTCCATCGCGGTGGTGAGTTCTCTCCATCGCGGTGGTGAGTTCTCTCCATCGCGACGGTGAGTTCTCTCCATCACGGTGGTGAGTTCTCTCCATCGCGACGGTGAGTTCTCTCCATCGCGGTGGTGAGTTCTCTCCATCGCGACGGTGAGTTCTCTCCATCTCGGTGGTGAGTTCTCTCCATCGCGATGGTGAGTTCTCACCATCGCGGTGGTGAGTTCTCTCCATCGTGGTGGTGAGTTCTGTCCATTGCGACGGTGAGTTATCTCCATCGCGGTGGTGAGTTCTCTCCATCGCAACGGTGAGATCCCAATCGCGACGGTGAGTTCTCTCCATCAAGGTGGTCAGTTCTTCATCACGGTGGTGAGTTCTCTCCATTGCGGTGGTGAGTTCTCTCCATCGCGATGGTGAGTTCTCTCCATCGCGATGGTGAGTTGTCCATCGCAATGGTGAATTCTCAATCGCGGTGGTGAGTACTCTCCATCGCGACGGTGAGTTCTCTCCATTGCGGTGGTGAGTTCTCTCCATCGCGACGGTGAGTTCTCTCCATCACGGTGGTGAGTTCTCTCCATCGCGACGGTGAGTTCTCTCCATCGCGGTGGTGAGTTCTCTCCATCGCGACGGTGAGTTCTCTCCATCTCGGTGGTGAGTTCTCTCCATCGCGATGGTGAGTTCTCACCATCGCAGTGGTGAGTTCTCTCCATCGTGGTGGTGAGTTCTGTCCATTGCGACGGTGAGTTATCTCCATCGCGGTGGTGAGTTCTCTCCATCGCAACGGTGAGATCCCAATCGCGACGGTGAGTTCTCTCCATCAAGGTGGTCAGTTCTTCATCACGGTGGTGAGTTCTCTCCATTGCGGTGGTGAGTTCTCTCCATCGCGATGGTGAGTTCTCTCCATCGCGATGGTGAGTTGTCCATCGCAATGGTGAATTCTCAATCGCGGTGGTGAGTACTCTCCATCGCGACGGTGAGTTCTCTCCATTGCAGTGGTGAGTTCTCTCCATCGCGACGGTGAGTTCTCTCCATCTCGGTGGTGAGTTCTCTCCATCGCGATGGTGAGTTCTCACCATCGCGGTGGTGAGTTCTCTCCATCGCGGTGGTGAGTTCTGTCCATCGCGACGGTGAGTTATCTCCATCGCGGTGGTGAGTTCTCTCCATCGCAACGGTGAGTTCTCTCCATTGCGGTGGTGAGTTCTCTCCATCGCGGTGGTGAGTTCTTCATCACGGTGGTGAGTTCTCTCCATCGGTGAGTTCTCACCATCGCGGTGGTGAGTTCTCACCATCGCGGTGGTGAGTAGGGCTATCTGGCGGGTAGAAACTTCTGGATCTGCCTCCAGCTCAATGTGCCCCCCCCCTCCACTGCTTAAAGGCGCCAGGGCCCCCCCACCTCGCTCCCCTCCCCCAAGACCATAATTAAAGTGAAGCCTCAGAAATGGCGAAGTGTGAACGTCAGAGACCCTGCCTGAGGCTCGGTCGCCTCAATTGAGGAGAAGGAGGATGAGGAGGGCCTTGCGTGGTTGTAATGTACGGGTGTTGAGCCTCCTCCGTCACTGCCGCACCGGCTGTGACGAGGCTATCACCCCCACGCGGTTGATGTGGTTCCACGTGCACTGCATCAGACGGGCGACGACGCACTTAACATCAACGCCCGATGATGTTTCTGAGGATGGATCGATGATGACGACGACGATGATGATGATGGCAACAGAAAACAAACGACACTCACCCAACGCCGCTCTCCGCCGCCTCATTGCCACAATCACAATTCACAGAGTCGCCTCCATCCCGGTCGTACACTCGCACGCCTGCCTGCCCTGCCTGCCCTCCCTCCCTCCTTTATCGGAATTAGCCTCTGGGGATTGGCCAAACACCCACAAATATGTGCACAGTTCGGACGGAGGGAAATCAATGCGATCCGAAATGGTGCGCGATCGGCCGGGACCCCTTGCCATAATTACATCATATTTCACGGGAGGGGCAGCGTCTCTAATGGACTCCATCAAGGTGGGGGTTGACGCCACATTAACCCACCCACCGTTCCCCACCCCTTCCTCTCCGTGATCAATAACACTTTAGTCTTTAGCCCGGGTTTAGAAGTCGGCCAATTTGAAGAGGGAGGGCAAGTGGAGAGAGAGAACGGGGGGGTGGGGGGGGCCATAAAAACCAAGAGCGCGTGCCAAATGGAGCGATGAAAGTTGAGTCGCCCCACAACCCCCGGGGGTGATGGTCAAGTTGACCCGGCCGTCGCTTCCGCGAGTCTTTATTTTGTGGGCGACAAGCATTTAAAGGTATCTCCTTCATTAACTGAACGTGCCGGCCCTACGCAGCCATGATTATTATGATTATTATGTGATCGTAGATCTTGCGTTCGGCCACGCAAATGGTCTGACCTAACGCGCAGCTCGGGGGAACAAAAAAAAAGATTCCACCGGGCAACACAGACAGACCGACAGAGAGATTACTTTTCGCCGTGCCGAGGCAAAGCGTTGAAACGACGCGCCCGGTTTTAGAAAAAAGATGTCGCGACCGGTGCCAATTCGACGATTCGATATTTTCGAACTGCTGCCCGCGTTGTTGCCCGTTGAGCCGACACTTAACGGGGAGTGTCGAGACTTCGAAGAAAGCTCTAGAACATTGAAGGCAAATTAAAACCGTTGCAGTAAGACGTCACCGCACACGTTGTGCGAGCGTGAGTGGACACGCGATCTGCTGCTCGAATGGCCACTCAGGCGGTATTCGTTGCCCGTTTACAGTCCCGATTCATTGGTGGAAATTCCACATCCCTTAGGCGGGGGGCGAGTCTCCCCAAAAGGGGCAACCATTGTTCAGTTTCTTGAAAAGTTGGTACTGATTTTATTGACCGCGGAGGGATGATGGGCTGAGTCAACCAGCAGCCAGACATTTTATCCACGGGACTGGAATCAGACTGTTCCCTGTAGAGTATAATTATGCATACAATTAAATGATGCGTATTGCATGTTAATAATACATTAATAAACAGTGCCGCCCTGCAAAAATACCTTGAAAAATCACTGAAAGCCAAATTTTGTCAGCACCAAGATCCACGTCACTTACCACTTCACTCACCACGTTACTCACCATTCACCACGTCACTCACCACTTACCACGTCACTCACCACGTCGCTTATCACTCACCACGTTACTCATCACTCACCACGTCACTCACTACTCACTCACCACATTACTCATCACTCATGATCCACGTCAGTAACCACTCACCACGCCACTCACTACTCACTCACCACATTACTCACCACTCATGATCCACGTCAGTAACCACTCACCACGCCACTCACCACGTTACTCACCACTCACCACGTCACTCACTCACCACGTCACTAATCACTCACCACGTCACTAATCACTCACCACGTCACTCACTACTCACTCACCGCTCACGATCCACGTCACTCACCACTCACCACGTCACTCACTCACCACGTCACTCACCACTCACCACGTCACTCACTACTCACTCACCACTCACAACGTCACTCACCACCCGTCACGATCCCTGTCCGTGTCCCACGTGGACGCCCCGCGGGCTCCCTCTGGCGTGCGCGTGCCGCCTCTGCAGAGGGTGCCGAGTGTTGGATGAGCGGTGGCGCAGCGGTTAGCGCACTGCGATTCGAACCCGACGACCCCAGTTCGACAGCAAATATCTGAATCTGTCCGGCCCCTCTACTCGGTCAACTCAACCTTAAATGAGTAAAGAGTGCGGTGCCTAAACATCAGCACTGGGGAGACAAAGGCGGCCGGGAATGGTTCTGGCACCCACGGTCTGATAAGGCTATAAGGGGAATGTTTGACCTTTAAATTTAAATTTGGATAACAATCGCTTGCGTCTATATCACTACGGATTACAATCGCTCGCATCTATCCCACACTACATATTACAATATCTTGCGTCGATCCACACTATGGATTACAATCACTTTCGCTTATCCACATTACGGATTACAATCGCTCGCGTTTATCCACACTACGGATTACAATCGCTCGCGTCTATCCACATTACGGATTACAATCGCTTGCGTCTATCCACACTACGGATTACAATCGCTCGCATCTATCCACACTACCGATTACAATCGCTTGCGTCTATCCACATTACCGATTACAGTCGTTCGCGTCTATCCACACTACGGATTACAATCGGTTGCTTGGCAACATGGCGGCGCCCATCTGAGCACCTCTCCCGCACGACACCTCCACTGCGCGCGTTCCGTTCGGCCGAGCGGCTGTCTCACCTGGGCCGTGAAGGAGCCCGGTGGGGGGCGGGGGGCCTCATGTCTCTGTGTCGCTGCGTGGGGTCGCGGCTGCTGCAGGTGCCGCTGCGGCTCCGGATCCCGGGTCCCCACGGCAATGCCGCCGCGCTGCACGTCTCCTCGCCCCGGGGCGACACCAGAGTCCAGCAGCTGCAGCGAATGCTGGCCAAGCACAGGTGTGGGGGGGGGGGGGGGGGGGGGGCAAACACAGGTGTGGGGGGGGGGCAAACACAGGTGTGGGGGGGGGGGGCAAACACAGGTGTGGGGGGGGGGGGCTGGCCAAGCACAGGTGTGGGGGGGGGGGCAAACACAGGTGTGGGGGGGGGGGGCAAACACAGGTGTGGGGGGGGGGCTGGCCAAGCACAGGTGTGGGGGGGGGGGGGCTGGCCAAGCACAGGTGTGGGGGGGGGGCTGGCCAAGCACAGGTGTGGGGGGGGGGGCTGGGTAAGCACAGGTGTGGGGGGGGGGGCTGGCCAAGCACAGGTGTGGGGGGGGGGGCAAACACAGGTGTGGGGGGGGGGCAAACACAGGTGTGGGGGGGGGCAAACACAGGTGTGGGGGGGGGGGGGCTGGCCAAGCACAGGTGTGGGGGGGGGGCTGGCCAAGCACAGGTGTGGGGGGGGGGCTGGGCAAGCACAGGTGTGTGGGGGGGGCTGGCCAAGCACAGGTGTGGGGGGGGGGCTGGCCAAGCACAGGTGTGGGGGGGGGGGGGCAAGCACAGGTGTGGGGGGGGGGGCTGGCCAAGCACAGGTGTGTGGGGGGGGCTGGCCAAGCACAGGTGTGGGGGGGGGGCTGGCCAAGCACAGGTGTGTGGGGGGGGGGGGCAAGCACAGGTGTGGGGGGGGGGGCTGGCCAAGCACAGGTGTGTGGGGGGGGGGCTGGCCAAGCACAGGTGTGGGGGGGGGGGGGCTGGCCAAGCACAGGTGTGGGGGGGGGGGGCTGGCCAAGCACAGGTGTGGGGGGGGGGCTGGCCAAGCACAGGTGTGGGGGGGGGGGCAAGCACAAGTGTGGGGGGGGCTGGCCAAGCACAGGTGGGGGGGGGCAAGCACAGGTGTGGGGGGGGGGGGCTGGCCAAGCACAGGTGGGGGGGGGGCAAGCACAGGTGTGGGGGGGGGCTGGCCAAGCACAGCGTGTATTGGGATGTCTCGTCCAGTCGGAAGAACCCGTCGGGCTATCGCGGTTGTTGTGGGTTCTGCTCGCGTAGGACTCAGACGTCCAGCCCCTGTCCAGCCCCTGTCCAGCCCCTGTCCAGCCGGTTTTGGACAACGCCGTTCGATCCCGGTCGTTTTGTACTCTGCTGTTTCCTGTGAATTTCTAGAGCGCCACACTTTGTTTCTCCCAGCCTGGTGACGGGTAGAGCGATACCTTCAGTTGATCCTGTTGGCGGTACCCCGGGGTACCAAATAATACAACATGGCCGAGGCAATTAAATATTTTATTTTTGTACCAATCAATCCGAAATCAGTGCCACTCCGCGATGTCGACACGCAGCGAGGTCGATTGTGCCGAAACCCTGAACGCTCGTACGCACCGTCGTGGTGCATCGTGTGCAGCTCGTCGAGATGAGTCGATTGCCGCATCGCCGACCATCAACAGACTCAAAATGACTGCATCACGGACATTGTGCGAGAGCCGGGGTACTATGGTACCCCGGGGTACCGCCACATGGTTCAGTTAACATTGAGTGATTTCGAAGTCTCACGTGACAGGGTTGTTTGTGTTATTGTTCTGATTTCCGTCTGCTTCGCTGTTGTATTTTGTGTTGATTTTGCCATTTTGGTAACCCAGCGCAACATGCAATCGAGACTCATCCTGGTCTCTTTATTTGTCTCTTTGTTAAACAAAATAACTTTGAAACTTGAGGATCATACGTCAATGCATGCTAATTAAATGAGAAACACGCATATTACAGTCACCGCATTTTAATTTATCACGTCTCTCTGACGTATTTTCCCATGTCATGTTTTCAGAAAGAAGCATTGGTTTCAGTCGCGTTTTAAGCCGGTAAGTCAGCTCCAGACACACCAGTACCGTTTAGTCATTGTAAACCCGTCATACTTATTTTTGCTCTAAACGTTATGACCACTGATTTATCTAGACACTTTAAATGTACACGCAAAAAAACACCACGAACATTTAGTGGCATACTCTTTGTTTTTGTTTTTCCCCGGTAAAGTCACGTAGGTAAAATAAAATGAATTATATCACGACGTTTCGGAAGCAACACAAGCTTCCATCTTCAGGTGGAACAGTCACAGCAAAATAGCTGTATCAAGTGAGCTCTGAGACACCCACGATTATATACAGGTTAAGGGGGTGGGGAGGAGCCAGGAAGGGACGTGGGGGGGAGGGCTAAGTTAAGCCGCCTTTTGTTATGCTGCAGGGGGTTCAGGGGAAGCAATGGCGCGCTGCACGCAAATCCACTTGACTAAATGGAAAGGCTGTACAATTATAAGGCAGCTAAAGTTTGACTTGGTTGATGACATCTTTCCAATGGTTGCTCAATTTAAAACCATCCTCTCGGTTGAAGTTGGGTCTATGTATATCTGGATAGCTTCATGGACAAATCTTTGGTAATAGCCGGGAGGTTTGCAGAGTACTTTGGTATCGGAGAAAACAATATCATGAGAACCCGCTGTGTTCTGTTTGAGAGGAGGACTGATGGCTCTTTGGGACATTCTGTTTACAGGAAGTCCACCCACACAGATTCCTACTTGAAGCCTGATTTCCACCACCACCCGGCTCAAAATAATTATCTCATCAAAACATTATACCATAGGGTTCATTGCATTTCTGACCAACACCACCTGACCAGTGAATTAAAACATGTACATCTGGCCCTCAAGATGAACGGATACTCTGACTGTACTATCCACCAAGCTGTTTCTCCCTCCATACAGAAACAACCACCTGACACTCCGATCAAAATCATCATGTTGCCATACATAGCAGTCGTTACCAAAGAGATTTCCAAAATTCTAAACAAACACAAGATCCAGGTCCGGTTCAATACAGTACACAAAATCCGTGATCTGATCCCATCCGTAAAGGATGTCATTCCTGACTTACAATACCCCGGTGTTTACAAATTGAGTTGTACCTGCGGTGACTGCTATATCAGGGAGACAAAACGACATATTTCTGACCGAATTCGCGAGCACAAATCAGATTTGAAACACGGCAGAACGAATTATTCGGCCGTAGCTGATCACTGTTTCAACACAGCGGGTTATCATGACATTGTTTTCTCCGATACCAAAGTACTCTGCAAACCTCCCGGCTATTACCAAAGATTTGTCCATGAAGCTATCCAGATATACAAACACAGACACAACTTCAACCGAGAGGATGGTTTTAAATTGAGCAACCATTGGAAAGATGTCATCAACCAAGTCAAACTTTAGCTGCCTTACAATTGTACAGCCATTTCCATTTAGTCAAGTGGATTTTCGTGCAGCGCGCCATCGCTTCCCCCGAACCCCCTACAGCATAACAAAAGGCGGCTTAACTTAGCCCTCCCCCCCACCCACGTCCCTTCCTGGCTCCTCCCCCCCCTAACCTGTATATAATCTCGGGTGTCTCAGAGCTCTTCACTTGATACAAATATTTTGCTGTGACTGTTCCACCTGAAGACGGAAGCTTGTGTTGCCTCCGAAACATCGTGATTTAATTTATTTTATTTTACCTACGTGACTTTACCGAAAAAAAAAAACAGAGTATGAATCCTTGCAGTCACGAAAGCTTCAAATCTAGAATTTAGTGGCATCAAAAAACATGAAATATATTTTTACATGATTACAACTGGATTTTGTTACACAACTTGACCCAGTGAGGTCGTGTGAATGACTCCAGGAATGTAGCTGTGGAAATTATATATTTGTGCCTTTTTGATAATTGAGCTAATGACTGGTAACCGTAAAGCAGATACGTCCTTTGCTTAAATACTGCATTCAAGTGAAGGTGGAGCAAAGAGGAGCACAGTAAGTAGTGTCAGATTCATAGAGAAGGAGGGGTTAGTCATAAATGGTGAGAACAGCCTGTGAAAGGGGAGTCAGCAGTGCAGACAGCCTGGGATCCAGCTGAGGGATTATTCTGTGCGGGCAGCAAAGGAAAAGAGGCAACCTCCTGCAGGAGAGGGTGTGAGGAGGGAAGTAGAGCGAGATGAGATGCAAAGGGAGGCACACCCATGCCTGATCTTGAAAACAGTGAGGGCAATCTTATAGTTGATCCAAGATTGGTTTGGGAGCCAATGGAGGCATCTGTGCAATAGGGTGATACGTTTCTGGTGCAGGCGTGAATTCTGACAGTCGTGTTCAGAATTATACAGAGTGAGGAGGTGAGCGGTTTTAGAGAGCAAGAGGTTTTACAGGGATGAGGAGAGGTTTCAGCAGCAGTTGAGTCATTGAAGTGGTGGTGGTGGACGTCGGATGTCCTGCACACGCTGAGCTAGGGTGGCGAGTTCAGGCTTTGGAGTGAAGCCGAGGCCTCGGTGATCGGCGTGTTCCGTACGCCACGCAGGAGGTCTTCCAGGGGTCCCTGGACTCGGGCCCAAACTGGTTGGGAGGGACGTCGCTGGGGCCCCGAAAACGGGCCAAGGGCGAGGACAGCCTGCGCTCCCGCACGGTGAGCAGCCTGCTGATGCGCTACATCGTGGACCTGATGGGCACGTCCGAGGTGGGGCCCGAGGTGTGCCACCTGCCCATGGAGATTGTGAAGGTGAGCTGCCGAACAGGGCGAACGGCTACCACGCTTGTGAACACCCAGCGATACTCCACGTTACTCCAATAGCTTCCAGTGTGGACCAGGGGTGCCACGGTGGCGAGATGTTATCTGCCTCACCTGGTATGGAGGAGGTTGTGGGTTTGATCCCGACCCTGACGCCTGCTGTATATTTGGAGTTTGAATGTTCACCCCGTGGTCCTCCAGTTTTTCCCTCATTTAGAAACGCGCATTTAGGGTATTTGGCTGCTATAAATTGCAACGTGATAAGCCACTTTTTTGAGCTATCATTTGTAGCCATGTCGCTTCTGAAAAAGAGATAGATAGCTCAGTGGGCCTTACCTGGTAAAATAAAAAGTTTGTAGTTTTTATACTTTGTTTCCCATGACTTTGATGTTATTAGTGCAAGGGTCTCAATAAGTCTTTCGTATGGTATTGCAAAAGCAACTGGCAAAACACTGTGTGTGGCGTCTGGTAATCGATTTAGTGGCATGCATTATTAATGCATACCCGTTGGAGGAATAGAGAGAGCCCTGTTGACATGAGGTCTTTGTGGCTGCGCGTTGATACAATGTCGCGTTGCGTGCTGTGAAAGCTATCCATACAACGGATCGCAATCGCTCGCGTCTATCTACATTGTGGATTACAATCGCTTGTGTCTATCCACGCTACGGTTTGCAATCACGTGCGTCGATCCACGTCTCAAATACAGGTGTTTTAGTTTCGTGGCATAACACTGACGTCACAGTTGGGCGGATATAATCGGATGTCACAAGGTGCTCTTTGTCGCCCATTGTGACGTTCCCGTGTGCCACCAGGTGAAGATATCCCCGGACTTCAGCGCGTGCCGCGTGTACTGGCGTGGCCTGGGCAGCACGGAGCAGGACGAGGGCACAGCGCGGACGCTGCAGCGCTACGCCAAGCACCTGCGGTGAGGGTGCCACGCAGCGACATCAGATCGTGCCCGTACCGCTGCAGCTCTATTAACCTTGAAGTTACGCTCCACATACTTCACAGCGGACGTTAAAAATCCCGTGACGTCATTCATAAGAGTCGGCCGTTGTTCGCTGGTATCAAAGGCCAAATTTGCTCAATTCGAAACTTATTAAATTGGGATTACACATATTGTTATCTTCTGTAGATGTATATAGCACCTTTGGCCAAGGTGCTTCACGATAATTTTAAAATTGTACAAAAGATGATAGTGGTTGGGGTTACTAAAAGTGGTGATGTAGTTATGGTGACAGGACAGGTGGTAGTGGTTAGGGAGGGAGGGATTGGAGTAGTGCTCGTGATAGGGGTATGGGTTGGGGTGGTGATAGGGGTAGTGATAGGGGTAGCGATAGGGGTTGGGGTAGGCCTGGTCGTAGCTGGGGGGTGGGGGCAGGAAGTAGCAGGATAGGCAAGGGAGAACAGATGGGTTTTAAGCGAGTAACGGAAGATGATTGCTCCGTGTGCTGCAGTGGGAGTTGGTTTCAGTGAAAGGGAGCGAGACTGGGCGCAGGGCGAGGGAGGCACACAAAGGGACGGTGGAGACTGGGAGCATAGAGGACGGGACAGGACAGAGTATTAAGAGATGCGAGATGTGGGGCAAGACCATGGAGAGATTTGTCGACTAAAAGTGAGAAATGTTAACAGGCAGCGATAGTAGACAGAGAGCCAGTGGAGTTGAGCAAGGAGAGCAGAGGTGGGAATTTGTGGGGCGAGGTTAAAAATGATCCGGGCTGAGGCATGTTGGTATCTGTTGTTGGAGAGGAGTGAAGGCGTTGACAGGACGGCCAAGAAGAGAGTTTCAGTCGTTAAGGTGAGTGAACACGAGGGAGTGAACCAGGAGTTTAGCAGCAGAGAGAGAGATGAGGGGACGGGCTTTTCCGAATATTGAACAGGTTGAGAGCAGCAGGTGTGGCTTGTAGCAGAGATGCGGTTGGAGAGAGAGGAGTTGGAGATGACCCTGAGGTTGCGAGCAGGAGACAAGAGGGAGAAGGAAGGGAATTAGATGGTAGGACAGGGTCGAGGGGAGAAGGGAAGAAAAGGATTTCAGTGTTAGAAGGATTGATGCAGAGGTAGTGGCGTGACATCCAGGATGTGGTTAAGAAGTTGGCAATGCGGCAGGAAAGGTCAGGGGTAAAGGAGGGAAAGGAAAATAAAATCTTGGTGTCGTCGGTGAATAAGTTATCGGAAAAGTTAAATGAATAAATGACAGCTTCCAGAGGTAAGATATAGAGGAAGAATAGCAAGGGGCCTAGGACGGATCCTTGGGGTGGACATCAACCGTGACGAGGGAGGGGAGGTTGAGTGGTTGAAAGAAACAGAAGGGCGTGAAGAGAGATAAGACTGGAGCCAGGAGAGGGGTGTGCTGGAGATAACGAGACTCGAGAGGGTGGAAGGGAGTGTGGGGTGATCGACTTTGTCAAAGGCTGAGGAAAGACCCAGGAGAATGAGGATTGATGGGAGGCTAGAATGGGCAGAGTTTGTTCGATGACTCTGTAGTGAGGATGGGCAGTTTCAGTGGAATGGTAGGGGCGGAATCCAGACCGGAGTTGAGGGTAAACAGAATTAGATGAGATGTGGTAAGGCGGGAGTGGACAAGACCTTATAGAAGCTTAGGAAAGGGAGCAGAGAGATTGGCCCGGTAGTTGGCAGGACTTGAAGTGTCGCAAGGGTATTTTAGAAGGGGGTTTATGATAGCTGATAGAAATTATCACGCCCCACTAGCTTCAGACTCATGCCCCACATATGGCATCATTTTTTGTTGAACAGGGACAGCTGCCACCAGGGCTGGCGTTTCCATTTGTTTGAGAAGAGGTGATGCAAGTTGCTGATAGCGTGTTGAGTGTTCCTAGACGCCCTGGGCGTGAAGGAGGGCCGGTCTCTTTATTAAATACAAATCATTATTACCATAAAATACGGCACGTGAGAATGGCGGCAGCAGCCATGCACGTCAGTCAGCAGAGCAAGTGCTCACAAGTAAAGCACGGTTGTGCAAACAAAGCACAAGCGCAGTCTCGTGCACCGCCACACGCGTCGCAGCGACGGTCAGAATGGGAGCATGAAACGCAACAGCAGCAGGCAAAGCAGCAAACGACAGGGCGCATGCATCTGTGTGTGTCGTGGTTTCGTAGGCACCTGCTCATCAGCTACCAACTCATTGGGAATGTGCCGCCGATCGTGTTCGTGCAGGACAAGAAGTACGCGGCCGTGGCAGAGGTGGGTGTCCGCACGGGCCACTCTTTATTTAAACACTACAGTGAAGGCTGTGGAGGGGGGCATCCTTGGAGAGTCCCCCTGCCCGTTGACATTCCCTGTACACCGAGCACAGGTGGTGACGTGCTGCTGTGACCTTGGTCTCTTTTGCCACGAGATTGTAGCCTTTTAACATTTATGTAATTGAAGTCATTACCACCTATCGTTGTGGACAGAGCATAGCCTCAGTGCTCGTACAATAAGTTTACACGCTCACGTGGCGCCTATTATTTAATGGCAACAATACAAGGGCCGCTGCAACGTGTGCGCCAGGATGCATCTCAAATGTGGAGCTCTGCGGACCCGTGTGGTCGTTGCTTAGCCTCGCTACCCGATTCCAGTGGAGTTGCGTGAACGCAACTGCTGTGGGTGATAAAAATCAAGAGTCCGTTTTATAAAACCAGTAACATCTCGGCGGCCCCCTCCGCAGGTGGAACGTTTGCTGGCGTGCATTGGAGTTGACGGCAGTGAGGAATTGGAGCTGGGGGCTCCGGTGGACCCTGCTATCGCGGGGGACCCTGCCACCGCGGGCCCCGGTGACCAAGCTGAGGCGTGGGGGCCGCCCCTCCCGGCCGACGTGTTTGGGGTGGACCGCGCCGCCATGCTGCGGCAGATCGCCGGCTACAAGAAGCGCGAGCGGCCCAGCGCCGTGGCCGAGCCCGTGGGGGACGAGTGGGACCGGCTGCAGCGGCAGCAGCTGCGGAGGCTCAAGCAGAAGATGCAGGCGAAGAAGAAGAAGAAGAGAAGCGAGGACGAGGACGACGTCACGCCCGCAGCATACCTGGCCCAGCGGCTCCAACGCGATGAGGAGATGCGCAGGCGGCAGCAGGCCGAGTGGCACAGCGACGAGCTCGAGGACGGTGACGACAGCGATTATCGTGGAGTTAAAGACCGGTAGCTTCCAGACAAATGTTTGTTTTTTTTTTTATAGCGAAGGGTAGAATGGTGGCATTTTTTATGAACGTGCATTGAATGTTGTAGCGCAAGCCATGTTGATGCAATTCATAGCAGTCTTCTCTTAAACATAACAAATAGGGTTTATTTACAATTGGCTTCATTACGGTGGCATATTCTTAACGAGCATTATCAGCCAGCATCTTCCACCACGCACATCTTTAACAGAGTCGATTGGATAATCGGTCTCAATAAATGTTTTTGTTTATTGACCGATAGTTCAGCTTCACAGATGTCATTGTAAGCAAATAGCTTATACATAAGCACAATAGAAAAATAAACATGCGAGGGAGTTTGTTTTCAGATTGAAAAGTAAAAATTAAAAAGCATAAGTGTGCAGTCCCGCAAATTGTTTTTCCATGTAAAATATGTATACAAAGACATCCCGGAGATGCTCTTAACTTTGCCGAGTCATGCCGCGTTTGAGTCTAAATGTAAAGGAACCGGTCACAAATGGGTTTCCTCGTTTAAACAAATGGAAATTATCCCAATGGTTGAACAGTTAACGAATAAAAGATACAAAGTGATTATGGTGTAGACATCTAGGCTGTGTCCCAGGCTGTCACTTTACAAGATTATGGTTTCATTATTTTTGGGGGAAACTTTATTTAACGGTCACTTGACTTCCGAACACACCGCTACGTGGCCACGATGATAAAAGCAATCTTTTTCGCTCAATCAAAAATCTAACCATTATATATAATGCATCATTCCGCAAGAATCTGATATGGAAGCGCGGATGATGGAGAAAAATTTAACTTAAACTGAACAGAAGAGATTATAAATGCTTTCAATCCAGTCTTAAAAGCACAGATTTTCACAGCTGACTGGCAGCCCGTTCTAATCTGCACCTTGCTTTAGACCCCCTCGCATACTCACTCTTAGCACAGCGATATTTGCCAAAGCAGAAAATGAAACGAAATTTTAACCACATACATGCAACGTTTTAAAAAAATGCGCCCATAAATTGCACCCATATATTCTTGGGGGAGTGGTAGCGCTGCGATGGTGCATGCACCATGCTGTGAACACAGCGACCCGAGATGGATATCCGGCTACAGTTAATATCTGCACCAGTCCCCCCCCCCCCCCACATTAACCCGTACTGCCCAGTGTGGTGAAGTATGACCAGGAAACCCCCCACGATCCACAGCGCGAGGGGGCCTTGTTTAATTATATACTATGTAACACAATTTTTGTTCATGGGTAGTGTTATTTTCTAATTAATTATGCCTCAAAGGTATAGAAAATGGCTATTATTCTCCACAAACTTTGCTTTTGTGACCAGGACTTTATGTGAAGGAATGACACAAATGCACGCGTTTTCTCATTGAATATAGGTACATTTCTAAATATCACTGTCCTGGTCACAAAAGCAAAGTTTGTGGGGAAATAGCCATTTTCTGTACCTTTGAGGCATAAGCAATTGGAAAATAACATGTTTTTGTTACAGTGTTATTCTACATTCGACTATCTAGTTATTTTAAAATAACCAAATTTTTTCCTGAAAAAATACCCCCATAGCACTGGTTTTAAATATTTACTTTTTATATAGTTTTAACGTCTGGTGGCAGTAACTCCAGCAGCAAGCCCCATCGAATCACTGCAGTGATTTGGGGCGTTTGTGGCCCCAGCAGTAATGCGTCGTCCGCTTGTTGCAGAGATTCTACGGTTCGATTGCAGTGACCACCCTGGTTAATACTGTGGGTGTAATTTTAAAAAATACGCATTGCGTGCCGGCGCGTCATGGTCCAAATTTGCCAAATGAGGAAAAAAAATACCCGCAAATGACTCAATTGGAATTACACAGCACAATCATCGCCCCCTACGTGGGAAACATTTCGCAGTTGAAAAAGTCAAGTGTCGGGACTGTTCAATCTGGCTATATACATCCTTCAAGTTAGAAAGGAACATCAACTTTGTGGCGTTAATTGTATCAGCAACCTTGCTCATAAAGTACTGGCAGCTTGACCAGTGCTCCCATTCCCCCGTACTACAGCTCATCGAATTCCGCATTAAACCACAGCCACCACTAACAACACCTCCTACAAAAAAAAACAAATGTGCCACCTTCCTTATTAACCATTCTGTTGGCAGTCCCCAGAGGGTGGTGGAAATTCCACATTGCTATGGCGAGGAACAGTATCCCCAGCTTCCATTCCACCACGTGGTGAGAGCCGGGCAGCATTCATTTGAAGGCGCCTGGAGAGACGGCAGTGGGGAGCTGCTGCTAGGACCCTTGGCCGCTGTTGGCATCTCGTGCTCGCTCGCAGTGATTAGATCTCCGCTCTTTGCACAAATTCGGTGATCCCAATCGTGCAAAAGCCAAGCGACCTCAAAAGTAGCCTCTCTTGACGAGCAGTGAAGGAAAAGGGTGTGGAAACCCAACTTCTTGCCATGCTCGCAAGTTAATCTCAAATTCCACAAATGAGTGTTATTTCCGATACGCATCCTTGTTACAAAAGGCTTCGGTGTGGTTGGGGCAGCATCTGTGATTCAATCGCACGGGCAGTGAACACGCGGTGGTGGATAAATTACCTGCACAGAGGAAACGAGCAAGCGTGGCGACGTCGCTGGGAGTCGACGGTACCGTGGCCTGGCCCAACGACACCCTCTCCTCGCCCACTCATCCTCACGCCTTTATCTCTCTCTCTCACCCCCATGCGTACCCTCCTCCTATCTGACAGTTAATGGTACATTCACTGTAGCATGTTGTTTGATAAACCTTCTGGTTTTTCAACAGTCTCAAATATCAGCGTGTCTTATGAAATGTCACATCCGCCAAGTCGAGCACAAAGCGGAAACATTTTTAAGTGACCCACCATATTTAATTTAAAAAGGCCACCAATCCCCGAAACGTGAAAACCCACGGGTGAAACGTGCCAAGCTTTGTGCGAGCACCCGGCGATCCTCCCGCCTCTCCTGTGCTCGGCTCTCATCAGCAGTCGCCGCGCGTCGCCCCCTCCGAACCATCGATCTCTACCTCCACGGCGACCACCTGCTGCATGGTGGTCTCCGTCTCCACGGCGACCACCTGCTGCAAGGTCCCCTCCGTCTCCACGGCGACCATCTGCTGCATGGTGGTCTCCGTCTCCACGGCGACCACCTGCTGCAAGGTCCCCTCCGTCTCCACGGCGACCACCTGCTGCATGGCAGCCTCGATCTCCACGTCCTCCTGTGCCACTTCCCCCTCCTCCCCCATCGCCTCGATGGCCACCATGTTCCCAGCCGCCATAGCCATGGCGGCGGCCCTGCACGTTGCTGCGCCGCGTCATCCATGGGGAATCGCGATGTGCGCAGGATGAGCACAGTCTGCTGACGCAGCGGCCGCACGTCCAGCCCCGGCTGCAGCAGCAAGTGCTGCTCGCTCAGCTGCTCCTGCTGCTCGCTCAGCTGCTCCTGCTGCACCTGCACGTGGGCGACCTGCTCCTGCACGATATAGTGCTGCGTAATATGCTGCTGCTGCTGCCGCTCGGCCATCTCCTGTCCCTCAAACTGATGCTCCTGATCAATGTCCTCCTCGTAAATGTGCTGCTCCTGATCGCCGTATTCCTGCTGTGCCATCTGCTGCTGTTGGTGGATTTGCTGCTCCTGTTCGCTGAGTAGCTGCTCGGCAACCTGCTGCTCAACAAGTTGCTGCTGCTGAGCTATGTGCTGTTGGTAAATCTCGGTATGGATTATTTGCTGTCCCTCAACTATATGCTGCTCCGCAACCTGCTGCCGGTGCTCAATGTGCTGCAACTGAACTATGTGCGGATGGTCAACCTGATGAGCTACAAGCTCCTGGACAATCCGCTGCTGCTGCTGCTCCTCCTCTTCCAGCTGGGCAATCTCCTGGACCAGCAAAGCTTTCGAACGCCTTCTCTGTTGCCGTTTCGGCCGTGGGTTCGGCACCGAGGCTCCCTCTCCGTTCTCCGCCAGGAGCTGGTCCCCCTCCCCCTCCTCGAGCGGCCCCCTCTTCCGGCGCGCGGCCACCGGCTTGCCGCACGTGTGCCGCTGCAGGCCGCTGCGGTTGACGAACATGCGGCCGCAGAGCTCGCACGCGTGGAAGCGCTCCCCCGTGTGGTAGCGCAGGTGGTGGGTGAGCTGCGACGGAGTGGCGAAGCGCTTGTTGCAATGCGTGCACTGGTAGGCCGGCAAGCCGTAATTGTGGCGCGCCTTGATGTGCGACCACAGCGAGTTGTTGCGGTGGAAAGCCACATCGCAGTACTGGCACTTGTAGGGCCGCACGTCCAGGTGCAGGTTCATGTGCTGGGTCAAGTTGTTTGACGACGTGAAGTTCTTTCCGCAGATCTAGCGACGAGAGGACGGGGGGGGGGGGACGGGAGGAGAGAACGACTCAGACTAATACACAACTCCAAGCACCGCGCATACAGATGTCTTGCGGTCAGTCGGGACTTTACGGTGATCGAAGTCAATATTTTTTTCTTGTTGTCGCTGCCAGTCACTGATGCCAAGCCTGTAAATTAGAACATTTGATTGTTATGCATCTAGCAAGGTCTCTGCACATTCTATACATTTTGGCAGGCATAAATAACATTTTAGCGTGTGTGCAGGTGCCAGTGTACACAATATCCTCCGTGTCTGTATACTGCAGTCTAAACGATCTCACTCTCCCTTGAACAGACCACAAAAGGAACAGTCCACCGATTTAAAAGCTACTCCACCGCCTTGGTTAAACTGGCTGTGGCATGGCCTAGCGGCAGCGCGTTGACCACTTGTTGCAGAGGTTCACGGTTGAAATCCAGCGGCCGCCCTAATAAATACTGCGGTTGTATTATCCTTCAAAATACACACCGTCTACTTCACAGACATTAAACTCGGTGAGGCCTTCCTGAACAGACAAGCACAAAAATAATAATGCTTAGACAAGGGCCCCAGCTATAAAGTCACTGACCTATCAAGGCTCAGGTGTCACTCCAAAGGCCAAGACAGAAGTGAGCCTGTTCCTCCATTTTCAACACTAAAACTCACTCTAGACCAAGACGTAACATACAACGGATCCCCCGCAAAGCCTTCAGAGACTGTAGGAGCAAGTGCTGTTTAAAAACACCTACGAAGGCCAGTACGGCACAAGAGAGGGTGGGTGGCCAGTACCACGCCCGGCCGCCTTTGTCTCTCTAGTGGCGATGTTTACGCACTGCAGCAGGTACTAATTTGAAGCCAAGTCAACCTAGGCGACGCCCAGGACCAGTTTGGATAATCATCACCAGTGTCGACTGAGTTGGAATCGAACCAGGGTCGCCGGGTTCATAGCACGGTGTGCTAACCACCGTACTACAGCTCTCCAAGATGTCAATGTGTCATCGCGCACACCCCTCGCCGCCGCCCACCTCGCACACGTGCTTGTGCGCCTTCGTGTGGCGCTCCAGTGCCTCCTGTCCCACGCACAGCTTCTTGCACACGGTGCAGGACAGCACCTCGAGGCCGTTGTGACCGGCCATGTGCACCACGAACTCCGTCTGGCGCGAAAACTGCAACGCGCATGCGCTGCATTCGAAGCAGCCGCCCGCCAGCGTGCTGGTGGTGACGCCGCAGTACTCCTCCTGCACGGTCTCCACCTTGACCAGGCGGCGCCCCAAGGAGCTGCTGCTTGGCTTAACGACGTTCTGTGGATTGTGAATGGAGTTGACGTGCTTCTGCATGGTGCCTGCGAGGTGGAAGGGAGCGTCGTGATCGTTAGGAGCGCCAGCCGTGCGTCGCCGCGGTTTCTCTTCCGGTTCGGGATCGAGGATGCTTCGTGAAACTGTTGAGCTTGTGAAATTATGAAAAGCAGAACCCTCTCTCAAACAAAACACGCTTTAAACGCCCACCTAAATTAAACTCAGTGTGGCATGTCCACAGGTTCGAGTCCGTGTTTACCTCGTGATCACTTTGGCTGCATCGCACGCTTTCAGATGCGGTTCTGCAGCCATCTGGAACCCTTCTTTCCGATATTAGGAAGCCACTGGAACTATGTACCTTTAAATCGAGAGTGAAAACTAATTTATTTCGAAATTATTTGTGTTTAGTTTGTTGTCCTTCCCCCGCACCTCTGATTAGCATGGTTGGCTACGTACGGTGTGAAAGAAGTTCAACAAGTATACATACAAACACAGCATACATATTGTCCACATGCTCGCTGGCACCGCCTGAACATGCCTCCTCGTGGTGTTTTCTCTGTGGTTAGCCTCAGGGATGAGTTTAGAAACAAGGGGAGTGACACCTATAGGATCGCAAAATAGTTACAATAAGTCTCCGTCCCATATTTGTCCCATTTACATTAAGTATTAAAATAACTTCTAAACATCCCATCAGCCATAAAGCCCTTCTGGAAGCACGTAATTTCAGCAGCATTAATTCGAAACAAGAAAACTTTGGACCAGTTTTGATATAAAGTGCTTCATCAGCAGGCAGGCTTGCTTGAACCAATGCTGGCGAATTGCCAGATGGTATAGACAAGGGTCCTAGTTCAAAACTTTCGGATTGCGGAACAATTCACTGGATCTAAGCCACCACCCCGTCGGATCTGCTGCGCGCGCGGGCAGGCAGCTTGCGGACGAGGAGCCCTACACGCCTTACCCTTGAGGGTGAACTTCTTCCCGCAGTATTCGCACTGGAACAAGCGCTCCCCCGTGTGCAGGCGCATGTGGCTCGGTAGATTTCCGCGGTTCGCGAACGTCTTTCCGCAGACGTTGCACTCAAACGGCTTCTCTCCTGCCGAGAGAGAACTGCCGTCAGAGATGGAGGGGGGGGAGCCTCAACTTGCAAGAGGGGGTGTTGGGCATGGCCGGTGTAATGCCTCAAGAAACATTTTTACTTTTAAATAAAAAAAAGGCACGCACGTCTTAGGAAGAAATGCATTCTAAGGCTTCCCCGCTGTATTCAGATGACCAGAGCAGATTACCAATAATCCTGTACGGTTACTCCTTTGTTTCAGTTTATAATCAGAACAGCTGAAAAAATAATTACAACCCTATTTGCAAGCTACTGTTGAAGGCCTCACCAGATCGTATTAGTCACCGGGGGGGTTGTTTGACCATACTTCACAAAATTGGTCAGTGCCGGATGACGAACCGGGGCTGCCCAGGACCGTTTCAGATATCACTTTACCAATGATGTTAGCTGCGGCCGGTCACTGGGTTCATCGTGCACGGTGTAAACTACTGCATTGCCCACTCTCTAAGCGTAGCAGTCTATTATTATTTTAAGAATTATTTTAAGAATCAATCAAAATAGTTTTAAAGTAATCATTAAGATACTTTGAAAATAATAATCAAATCCAGGATTACGTTGCATAAAACGTGTAAAGCAGCGAGTACTCAATACACCAAATACATTTAAAGATAAAAACCCATCCCAACCGTCAGCGCACATTCAAGGTGTGTTCCTGTGGCAGAGGATCGCGGTTCCAATCTGGCAGGCCGCCCTGGTTAACACCGTGGGTGCAGAAACCGTAAGGCCGCCCGGGTTAACACCGTGGGTGCAGGAACCATAAGGCTGCCCTGGTTAACACCGTGGATGCAGGAGCCGTAAGGCCGCCCTGGTTAACACTGCGGGTGCAGGAACTGTAAGGCCGCCCTGGTTAACACCTTGGCTGCAGGAGCCGTAAGGATGCCCTGGTTAACACCGTGGGTGCAGGAACCGTAAGGCCGCCCTGGTTAACACCGTGGGTGCAGGAATAGTAAGGATGCCCTGGTTTTTTTTTGTTATTACCTACAAATTACTAAATTGTGATGACACGCAGCAGCAACATCGCCCCTTACTGTCAAACTATTGCAGATTGTGTCCGTGAAACAAAGCGGTGCCTTCCTGATGATAGCCTTGTTGCTGTAATAATGGTGTGAATATCAGCTGTATCAAATTATTAAATATTATTAATAATGAAGGCATGAGAAGAGACATCCCAACACGGACCGGTGGTGGCTATGCACGTCTCCAAATCAGGCACTGCGCAGGCAGCAAGGGTTGGTGAGTCACACAAATGCGAAACTGCCTTCCTGTGGGCGTCGAGGTGCCATATCCTGGCTTGCCAGAAGGCAATACAGCAGGTGGACTAATCCCCATCTGTTTTCATCTGTACCAATATATCTTTTAAAAAAAATCTAGTAACAACATTAACACGGCACACCTTCAGGCATCGCCCCCCCCCCTCCACCGCACAAAGCACTGCACCCGGGCATCACCATCGCCACCATCACCATCGCCACCACTGTCGCTCACCAGTGTGGATACGCATGTGCGTCTTGCAGGAGTCGCTCTGCCGGAAGCGCGCTCCGCACACCGTGCAGGCGTAGGGACGCTCCTGCGTGTGCCGCCGCCGGTGCACGGTGAGCGTGGAGCGGTTGCGGAAGCACTGGCCGCACGACTCGCAGACAAACGGCTTCTCGCCGCTGTGCTTGCGCATGTGCGTCCGCAGGTTCGTCTGGATCGTGAAACTGCGGGCGGTCAGATCGACCAGTGGCAGAGAGACACCGTCGAGAGTTCACATTCCTCGAGGAAATTGCGACAGTTTTTTCGGTCAAGTTCGCCGTAGTTTTTAAACCACTCGCTTCCTGTTCATCTTTACACGCTCTTGACATTTCTTTTTCGGATAAGATGTCAAAACTGATGCACGCCCTGACCCGGGCCTAAAGCCTGGGCGGCCTGCCCGGGCCACATTGCCAATCCGGAATGGCCCAGAACCAGACCTGGCCCACCGAGCCGGTTCCCACCCGATCGCCAGCGCTCTTTGCTCGATGCTCCCTCCCCACAATGGCGCATTCCGGCCAGCTAGGCTCCTCGTGCAAACGCTTCCCGCCGGTCACATGGCGAACAGGCCGCACGGGACGCACAGCACGCACGCCCATACCTGGCGTCGCACTGGCTGCACTTGTACGGCTTTTCTCCGGTGTGCAGCCGCTGGTGCTCATTGAAGCTGTGCCTGGTTGGTCATCGTGCTTTCCACATGTGGTGCATTCGAATTTCATCTCCTTCTTTGCTCCTGCCAACATGGGAAACAGATTCATCGTTTCCACCTGTCACAGGTTCAACACTTGCGATGTCAAGTTTAATCATCAACATTGTCAAAAACATGAGGCTGCATATACAAGCCAAATAAATATATACACACATCAACTGTTAATTGTATGTCGGTGACATGCCCAGTGGCAGCGCTTTCGCTGCTTGTTGCAGAGGCTTGAATCCGGCAGGCAGCCCCAATTAACTCTGAAGGTGTATTAACTATACAAATACACGCAGGTCTGCTTCACATTGGCCGTTAAAGATCCTGTGATGTATTTTTGAAAAGAGTAGGCCATAGCGTCCCAGGTGCCATGGTCCAATTTGAAAAAAATACCTGCAAATTATTAAATGGAATTACACACAGCAACACATAACCCCTTACTGCAGACGGTCTGTGGAAGCATAGTGCTTTCATGATAACTTTGCGCTATAATGGTGAAAATGTCAAAAATACGAAGTTTTGTATATTAGTTATTACATAAACTAGACTTCTAGTAACATTAATTGTGCAACAATACTTGTGGTAACATATGCCATGCAGCACATAACAAGCTCATGCTCGGCGACAAATAATGCACGCGCAATCCCACGATTAACAAACAGTAATCTAGCACATGAACCGTCAACAGCTCCTTAATGCAACGTGTACACATCAAAAAATACAGACACAAATAAGCACTTTTCAATGTAACTTGGGATGCACTAAACATGTGGCCAAACCGAATTAATCTGCGAAAATTTCCCAGACATTCATCGCGATCAGGGCAGGCAACCAAAAAAACAAGGCATCTGTGGAGAGTGGCTCGGGACGTTTCTCCTGCTAACCTTGGGGTCTGCAATGAGTTGCTTTCGTTTGGCCGATTCAAATGTTTAAACTCCTTTTGCTTGTAGGTTGGCATTGACACCCGGCTCCTATGAATGTGTCGTCAGTGTGCGTTAAGAGCCCGACTGGCTTTCTAAAGAACATTGGTATCGGCATTTATGCCACCGATATCGGTATCGTCATTTATATCAGTATCGGCATTTATGCCACCAATGTGCCCCAATTTTGTATTTATCATGAACCAAATCAAATCGATTCTTCTTCCTGTAAATGTACGTTTGGCAGTTTGTATTGCTATTTGCTAAAGGATCCGGTAGAGGGAGCTCTAATAAAGGAGCACCCCTCGATGGTGAGAATGCAGAGCTGCTTTGTTTTCTTCGCTACAATCTGTCACTGCTTGAGTGGCAGGACTAGAGAACTGAACTCTGATGTCTGAGCACTGCCAGACTGCCAAAATAGCTTAAGTTCAATTTGCAAGTATTTTAACAATTTATGACGAATCCGTTAAAAAGTTCTTGGTGTGTTTTTTTTATTTGCTTCCTCGTTCATAGTTTAATTTAAGTTAAATGTTCTCAAATCTTGAAAGTTTAATAAAGTAGAAGTTTCAATTTTGCAATTTTTTCAATAAATTATCGGTCGATATATGGCAATCGCTGGACTAAGACTCTCCAAAATCAGTATCGGCGCCAAAGATCTGGCATCGGTTGGGCTCTAGTGTGCGTGTTTGCATATGCGTGTGTTTTCATGAAGTATGCGTATTATGGTCCAACCAAACAAATCTTTGGGATCCATCAAATGAGACCCCCAGTCGGGTAATAATGTTACGTCACCAGGAAGCGATTCCTTTGTATCCAGCCATGCAATGCTGTTAGTGGATTAAAGACTTTAGCTAACGTTGTTTCGCACACAAAAAGGGAGGAGACGGGCTATAAATGTTATCTTGTGATTGGCCATCCCACGCAGTCTCACCGGATAGATGAGTGTCTGTAAATTGCACAGCAGCCACACATTTGTTGAAAAAAAAAACTCACGCTCATAAATAACACTGCTGGCCTTAAAAGGAAAAGATATTAAAAACAGGTGATGTTTTAGACCCTTCTTCATAGCACGTAAAATGAGTGTTATTTCCGTATGTGCCGAGTTCTTTTTTGCTAATTGTGCTGCATCACCAAAACCACGTGACTAATTTGCGGTGTGTCGTTCGGCAACGTGACGGGGGGGGCGCACACCCAAAGCGAGACACTTACTCTTGTAGTGAGTCTTGCGGTGAGCGCGGTGGTCGGCTGGGGTCTCGAACGTCAGCAAACACTCAGCGCAGTGTAGCCCATCGCTTTTCTGCCATCTCTTCTTGGTTACCGTGCCCCTCTGCTTTCTCAGAAGTCAACGCCGTCGCCAGCCTCCTCAGTTTTGGTGGTGGTGGTGCTGGTGGTGGTGCTGGTGGCGGCATTAGCCACCTTCTCCTTGGCTTTCAGGACCAGGTTTGGCCTTGGATCGCTTGGCAGCCTTAACCACGACTGTGGCCGTCGTTTGCCCTGCCAGCTTCTGGATGATTTCGTTGAGACGACTGGACGACTGTTTTTGTGTCCACTTGTCCTCATCGGAGCACTGGACTTGTGCCGCACCCGCACCGCTCTCACCCGCACCGCTCTCACCGTCACCGTGGCTACCTTCACCACCATCAACATCGTGTTTCCCGCTGGGATGCAAGTCAGTAGTGGTTGGCTCATCCTGGATTTTGCTTTTCTCCGGTTGGCTAGAATCCACCACTGCTGGGACATCATCACCGTCATTTGCGCCATGACTATTATCTACGTCAGCGTCATGGTCATCCAAGTGCGGCTCCGGTTCGTGGCCGAGGTTGATACTTCGGGGTCTGCGTTCGTATCGTGGCAGCTGGCAAACTTGGGTTCGTCAAGATGCTCGCTCTGCGCGGCCGACCATATTCTGCTCCATCTCCACGAGAGCCTGTGCGGGAAACACAATAGTGGTACCTCGGTATACGTCATTAATTCGTTCCAGAAGGTAGGAGGACTTATACCGGAAGTGACGTCTACCAACGAATCTTTCCCATAAGAAATAAAGGGAAAGGAAATAATCCGTTCCAGAGTATAAGAAATAATATTTTATATGGCATATTATACATTAATGGAGTTGTATAACATAATTTAGACACTACTTATTACTAAAATGGCATACATACATTAAAATGCATAAATTAAAAAAAATTGAAATAAAAATATTTGTTTTGCCTTCTCGCAAATTATAGCCTCTGAAACACTATCGCTGGCTAACTGTTTTTCGTTTATCCATATTAATAACATTTTTCTTACTTGCTCTAATGTCCGTGATCTTTGTTTTGATATAAATTTCACCCCCTTTGCAACGTTATCTGATTTGATGGCTTCTTTTTTTCCACAATCGAAATTGTTGTTCTCGGCATACGGTAATGCCACCGCAAGATCAGTGACGTGCACGCTGCTTTCATACTTTCTATGATCTCTTTTTTCACGTCAATAGTGGATTCTAACCATTTTCTTTGTAGCTTGGCTTTTCTCACTGACCTTCTTAGCACCCATCTTGAATGAATTCGCAAAAAAATTCACGTTAAAATGACAAAAAACACGTGAAAATTCACAGAGTTATAGCAAGAGGGTTGTGCACTGAACGAGATCTGCAGGCAGACTGAGGAGCGGCGCTTTGTCTCAGTCGTGAACGGGGTCTACGTGGGTACGCGGTGACTCATCCCGACCCATACAAGTTCTAGCAAGCGAGGCGTATCCCAAAGCAAAACGTCGTATCCCAAGACATGTTTTTCTCGTCAAAACACGACGTGTACCAAATTCGACGTATTCCAAAGCGGTCGTATACTGAGGTATGACTGTACGTGTAGATTTATGGACAAGTATTTTACAGGTATTTAAAACAATGGGAGCTACCACAGTGGTATAATGGTTAGGCACATTGGACTTGTCAATATAGAGGCCGCCGTTTCAATTTTGAAAACTCATTTACTCAGAACTGCTTTGTGTGTTTATTTTGTTGTTGTTGTTCCGCACCTCCATTAGCAGTTGGCTACGTACGGTGCGAAGACGTTCAACACACATCCAAACAATTCCATCTTCCAGGACGAGACTTGAAATGGGGCAGGTTTTTAAGTCCCCCCTCCGCCTCTGCCAACCCGGTAGTGTGGATGAGTTCACCGCAGTGAGTCGTTTGGCTAGGGTCGCGTGCGGTGGGACAAAGTGCGTGTACGCCCACCTCTCCAGCACGTCTGGGTCCACATGGAAGAGTAGGCCAAATACCCTCGGGTTCGCTTTCGTGGAGGCTTCTCCACCAGCAGTGGCGTGAGCAAGCAATTGCAGGGCCGCACCTTTACCTTGTACTTAAGTAACATATGGCACACTAGCTTATTGCATTTATGTGCTGCTCATCAACACAAAAAAATGTCATCAAGAGGTCTCCAGATGTAAAAACATCAATCTCCTGGTATGGGTAACCAATGTACACAACAGTCCTCAGGGCCCAATTTAAAGAGACGTAGGGCCAGTCCTCCGCATCTACCGAACACCGTGGAAGAACGACCAAAGACAAGTGTCGTCGCTGTCCAACAAACTCTAAACTATTTTTATGTTACCAGGTAAGGCCGACTGAGCTATAAAACTTTTTTCAGAAGCGGCCTGGCCAAAAATTACAGCTCAACGAAGTGGCTTATCACGTGGAAATATATAGCAGGCAAATACTCTAAAACGCATGTTTACAAATGTGGAGGGGAAAACTGGAGGACCCAGAATAAATTCACGCAACCACGGAGAGAACATGCAATCTCCCAAATATACAGGTATCAGGGTCGGGATCGAACCTACATCTCGCCACCGTGGCGCCCCTCGTGCCGGAAACCCAGGGGGAAGCCGCAAGGCACCGGACCACATCGACGGCTACGACCTCATCGCTTACGTCAACCAAGTGGAGCGTGAGATTGGCACAAACACCAGACATGACCTAGATGCCGCAGCCATCCACATTGAGAAACATGCGTTTAGAGTATTTGCCTGCTATACAATTTCACATAAGCCAGTTCGTTGAGCTATTATTTGGGGCCAGGTCGCTTCTGAAAAAGAGCTACATAGCTCAGTGAGCCTTACCTGATAAAATAAAAAAAATAGTTTAGTTTAACTCACAGACGGGGCATTAATGAGTGATATCCACCCCAAATGAGCGCCACTTTCCACTCGGCAAGGTGGAACATGGACTAAAGGTCAGACCTCTGCTTCCTCTCAAAATTATAAATGGACGAAGCCCTCTGGAAGCTTCACAAATCATCCTTGAAAGGCCTCACTGAATCTCAACGATTTTGAGGATGGTCCTGCCAAGTTTTTTCAGGATGGCGCGATGATGCTGTTCTGTGTATGACCCCAATTGAGTAACGTGCAGGTAAATTTTTTGCATTGGGATTTTTGACCAATACCAGTTACATTGCACGTTATTTTTAGCTATGGGTAAAAAAGCGAAGAACCTGGAGGAAACCCATGCAGAGCATGGGGCGATCATACAAAGTCCACGAATAAAAGCGCTCGAGTTGAGAATCAAACCTAGGGACTTCTTGCTTTGAGGAACAAATGTTACCACTGAGCCACGCTGCTGACCGAGTACGCCGGCAGGCCCTCACCTGACGGATGGCCTCGATATGCCGCAGCAGGGCTGGCACCTGCAGGACCTGGGCTGCGTGCTCCAGGCCCTCCATCTCATCCTTGTCGGTTACGAGCAGCTGCGCCGTGTAGAAAAACGTCAGGATGAGCTCAAAGGCCCAGGCCTCCAAAGCCTCCACGGTGTCCCGGCCAAGTGGTGCGCTCCTCCCCCTCAATCCACCCTGCCATGGGTCCATCACCGCCACCTGCGGAAGAGCGAGACGACATATGCGTGAAGCGCGCGCGAAGCCCGGGATTCTTTTTACACAATTACTGTGGCACAGGCCCAAATGGCCAGCGATAAACAGCACTCTCAGAGTTGTGATAAGGGTTATAAGACATTTCATTGAATTTAACCAAGTAACTTGGGAAAAGAGACCGTGGGATATGCAGTGCAAGGGAAGAAGCATAGAGAATTGTTGTGACCTGCAGTGCAGTAGTTAAACAGTGTGGATGAGACAAAACTGAAGTTAAATGGTAGAACTTTACAGCACTAACGTTGCTCTAAACTACTCGATTATTCGTTTTGCTTCATTTGACAAAGGCTGCAACACTGAGTAAACTAAACTGCATGTGTCCCTGCAACACTAAACAGTTTTGCTCAAAATACATTAAAAAAGTATGTTTCTGTACAAGCAATGCGCATTCTGACAGGATCACGTGATTATCACAACAATAACAGATCAGGTTTTTGCTTTCTAATTTAGAAATCCCCCCACCCTGCCCGCCAAGCACGAACACTACACGTGTGTGTGGCTGTCATATTTCCCTCCTCCCTGAAGGCATTCAAATAATAGACAAATGGACGTATTGGTGGCACACGGATTCAGCAAAACACACCAGTCCTCATAAAACAGTCGAAAATCTAAATTCGAACCAACATTCGGCTTCCGACTGCCTCGACATCACGAGAACTGATTTGGACGTACCACCCACAAGATTTTCTCACCGGGGTTGCGAATCGCGAGAAAATCAATCACTATTGTAACGAGTGGGGGGGGGGGGCAGAGGGTGCCTTGGCCCCTCCTGGTGGCCAAAGCTACAAGTTGGGGCCCCCCCTTGACAACCACCATGAGATATGTTTTCAATAAGTGTAAAAAGACAAACTTAATTAAAATGCGGTTTAAATGCATTTTTGCGAAAATGCTTTCATCATGGGACATCCTTTGCCAGTACCAAAATGAGAATAGGTTTTTCCCATTTTTTAATTGGAGCAGTTACGTAATATTGCAAAGGTACTAAGAAGCCGAAGTGGCTGCATTTCGCGAAGACGGAGCGCCCCATTACAGCGTTAAATGTTTGAGACCATGAGCGTAATGATGTGATTGGGCAAGAGCAGCCACAACATATAACAGCCTTGGTGCGACCATGCGAGACAAATAAAATATTGGGGCCCCACCCCCGAACTGATGTCATTACTACGCCACTGCCTCCACGACGCCTCCTTAAAATCAGCCACGCCACTCAACTTTACCCTGCGCCTTACACAGTGCGAGTACCCTCCTCCCGCGTCACCTCCTCCATTGACGCCCTTCGCGATCATGCCGAAAAGGGTGACTTGACTCCATTCCTTCGGTCTCAGGACCGAGGGGCAAGACTGTCAAAACGTTTAGCACCGATGCAGGAAACATTTGCGAAACATCAAGATGGGAGCCATTCTCGGAGGAATATACCTCGCGTGAGCCAAACAGCGAGGCAAAGTAGCCCGAGGTGGCGGACAGCACGCACTTGTGAGCCGAGAAGAGGCGGCCGCCAACCAGCACCGTCACGTCACAGTGCTCGCCTGCACACACAACAGAGACAAAGTTTCCCCGTATAGCCTTTAACAGGCTTCTTGAGGCAAGTGACGTGAGCAAACAAACGGCACCATGCCCAGCTGCCTTTCATTTCCCAATGCTGATGTGTTTACACATTGAACCAGCTTGCCACTGTTATTGGTCATGAAGGAGAACTGAACTCAGGCCGCCAGATTAGTAGCGCAGTGCGATGACCACGACACTACCAGTACCCATAAACCCTAAACACGCACACACCGTCAGCACACATGCGTAAACACATGCATAAACAACAACAGCCACCACTAGACACAAAGTGGCAGTAATATCACCACAGCATGTGCCAGGCTAGATGCACTTTGAGGTTATCACTTGAAGTGCAGAAGGCTCACTGCTGATGGGCCATGGGACATACCCAGGTGTTACGGGTTGATTAACTGAGATGACTGGCAGATGTAACACCTGTGCCCACCATACCCGCCCGCCTTCGTCTCCACCGTGGCGACGTTTACACATAGCACCAGGTATTTATTTGAGGCCGAGTCGATCTAGGGGAGGCCCAGGAGCGGTTAAGATAATCGTAAGTGGTGTTGGCTGTGAGTAGTACATGGAGGACAATAACAACAGTCGCCATTCGCCACTAAGTCGCAGTGACGTCACCACGGTGCCTGTGCCAGGCCAGATGCACTGAGGCCAAGGGAAGTGTCCAAGGCTTGCCGACAGGTCACGGGAAATGAAGCACATCCACAGAAACAAGGAGACACATTAGCACAAATGAAGATACTGAGACTCACACAGACCTGAATACTCATACACAGAAACACACTGATTCACACAGACACAAATGCACCCAAGCAGTTGGACAAAATACTGGCAGCGCCAATCAATTTCCTTGTTCTCGATAAGCATACGCATGAGATTGTGAATGATCAATCAGCTTCAATGCATTCTCACCCAGGCGCCGAGTGAGTGTTTGGTTCGGTGTGCTGTGAGGCTCAAACGAGCTCGAGAGTGTTCTGGGGAATGAGAGAGGTTGAGAAGCGCTACCGGAGGGGAACCAGTTTGTGTGCCACGTGGTCCTAACGCGAATGGTCACCATGACGACGTTTCATATTTTAATAATTCCTCGGGTATTTAGCCACTCATAAAAAAGCATTATTCCCTCCCGGCGATCAATTATAAGGCAACATCCGCCGAGTACAAGCAGCATCAAGGCAACACCATTATCCACACAGTGACACGGGAGTTTCGTCGGCCAAATGAGCACTGCTCTCTGTGCCTGGTGCACCAAATCAGGAGAGGAGGAAGCGTCGGTGCGGAACCTAGGATTGAATGAGCAGCAATGCCCAGCTACTGACACTCCGAGGGCTTCCATCAAGCATCGTGTCCAACTCGTGTGACCTCGTACCTTGCAGCCGCTGTTGGTTAAGAGTGGCCAGCATCTCAGTGGCAAAGCAGTTGTCAGTGACGCACACTTTGCCAGCGTTTCCCTGCCTACACCACACACGGAGAGACACAAGGATGAACAACACATTCACATGTATGTTTGTATGTCGAACTTCTTTCACACTATACGTAGCCAACCGTGCAAATTGGAGGTGCAAACATACATGCAACACAGCCACATGAACGTCACATGCAGAATATTACCTACTTGGAAAAAAGTGTGTTGTTTTTCCCGTCGCTTACGTTCAGCACACAAATCAGAAAATCCACAAGCCGATCTACGTAAACGGAAAATTAAAGACGCGCTACACTATGGATCTTATAGTAAACCACTGTAGTCTGCCCTCCTTGAACGGAGGAGGAAGAGAAAGACGACACGAACTCTCTCCTGAAGCCCCCTTCTCGTGGCCAGCAGACCTCGACATTGGCATCGAGCTCCTAAACTTATTGCTGCTGACTTGCGCAAAAAACTAAGTTTGTATATTCTCCCTCCCCATGGTCGCGTCGATTTTTCACCGGGTCCTCTGGTTTTTCCTCCACATTTATAATCAACGTGCCTTCAGAGTATTTGGCTGCTATACATTTCCACGTGATAAGCTACTTCGCTGAGCAATCACGTGGTCAGTTTGCTTCCGGAAAAGAGCTATATGGCTCACTGGGGCCTTACTTGGGAAAAAAAATAGTTTCATAGTTTTAATTGAATAGCAAACATTAAAAAAATGAGGACAGGGCCTACGAAAGAGCTCCAATAAAACATACCAAATACGAAGATGGCATTGCACGTTTGAAACGGTGACGCTGTTGATGGTTTACTGGTCAGTGCGTTGAACACGTGGGGCAATGAACCGGCCAATTCGCACGGTAGAACAAGTTGCTCTTTAACATGACTGCACTGTGTATGTAATGAACGCCATGATCACCCCTGCTGCACGGGACGTGTACGTTCAGCCCAGGGATTTAAACGTCGCAATTGAAATTATATAGACACTTAATGTATATGCGCAATGACGCAATGAAAATGTAAATGGATACTCACGTTGATAGCAATTTGACACGTAGGCTTTCACGACAAATAGCCATAATACAGGTTTATTTGGGTTAGATTGCGTAAATGTGTGTCGTTAAACCCGCTACCACCCGACACAGCCAATTAGTAAGGTTTGTCTTGTAAACAGAACATGCCAATTCGCTACTAGATCAGCACACCGGTGTGTTGGGAGAGCACAGCCACAACATTTACAATCCGAGTACGATGTTTCGCCAGTAATTACGACTAGCTTAATCAGGAAAACTTGCCTGATGATAGCATTAACATTGCACGGGGTTGGTCTGGAACTCGGAGCAAGCTGATAGCGAATAGAACCAGGGCAGTACAGTGCATCCCATGAATACTGTACCGGAGAACGTGTTCAACAACAGTGCGGCACTGTGAGTAGTAGTAAACACGTGGCTCAAAACAAGGAGGATCTGGGTTCGACTCTAGAACCCGACCGCCTTTCTCTTTGGAGTCTGTGCGTTCTCCCCCTGGGCTCTGCATGCGTTTCCTCCTCTTAGAGCCGAAAACAAAGTGCGTCTCGTATTTGCCAAACATCTCAATGCTGAAAATTACTCGATGGGATTACACAGCAGCAGCATCTCCCCCTGCTCTAGGGGCGAGTCCCCGTGGCGTCGGGGTCTCGAGGGGCGAGTCCCCGTGGTGTTGGGGTCTCGAGGGGCGAGTCCCCGTGGCGTGGGGGTCTCGAGGGGCGAGTCCCCGTGGTGTCGGGGTCTCGGGGACCGGTGCTGATCCTCACGTGAGTCCCCGTGAATGGAGTCCGCTGAGGCCGCTGCCCGTGCTGCTCTCCCGCGCCTCGGCCGCCAGGTCGCAGCCCACGCCGCGATCCTCGGTGCGGCGCCGCGAGCTCAGGGTGCCAACAACTGGACCACCACCACCACCCTCACCCTTCTCTCCTTGCCCTTCCTCCTGCTGCTCCTCCCCGCTCTCCTGCTCCCGCTTCTCCTCCTGCGGCTCCTCCTGCCCTCCTCGCCCCTCTTCCTGCTTCCCGTTCTGCTCCATATGACCTGGCTCCTGCTGCCCCTGCCCTCCACGCTCCTCCTGCTCGCTCTGCTTCCCTCGCTGGCCCCGTTTCTCTTGCGCCCTCGCCTGCCCGCCTTGCTCCCCTTGCACTTCCTGCTGACCCTGCTCCTGCTTCAAGTGCCCTGGCTCCTCCTGCCCTTCCTGCTGCCCCCGCTTCCCCTTTCGCCCTTGAGCCTGCTCTAAAACCCCTGGCTCATCCTGCTGCAAGCGAACTCCCCGCTTCCCCTGCTCCTGTTCCAAATTGCCTGGCTCCTCCTGCCCGCCCCGCTTCCCCTGCCGCGCCCTCCTCTCCCGTTGCGCCTGCTGCCCCGGCTGCCCCGGCTCCCCCCGCTGCCCCGGCTCCCCTCGCTGCCCCGGCTCCCCTCGCTGCCCCGGCTGCCCCCGCTGCCCCGGCTGCCCCCGCTCTCCTTGCTGCCCCCGCTCCTCTGGCCTCAAATGCCCGGACTCCTGCCGCGCTCTCGGTTTCCCCTGCACTCCCAGCTGCCCCGGCTTCCGACCCGGCTGCCCCGGCTTTCTATCCCGCTGCCCCGGCTTCCCACCCCGCTGCCCCGCGACCCCCGCGGGTCCTTCTTGGTCCCGCGCCGCCGCCGCCGCCGCTGCCCGCGTCCTCGCTCTGCACGGCGCCATCACGGAGCTGCGCACAGGCGATTCCGCGATTCTCATCTCGTGCGGTTAAACGTGGATCGACTCCATCGATTCGGAAACAATCAAAATTCTCGATTTTGAAGTTTCGTGACTGCAATGATCCATAACTCTTTGATTCTTTCGGTAAAGTCACGTAGGTAAAAATAAAAAATATAAAGTTAATCATATCACGACGTTTCGGAGGCAACACAAGCTTTATTTTTTACCTACGTGACTTTACCGAAAGAACCAAAGAGTAAGAATCAAAATTGTTAATTATTTTCATCATATAGGAATAGGTTTTACCCTTTTAACTGGCACAAAAACTGACACCTTTATTCAAGGCATCATGTTTGCAATAACCACAATACAAGCAGTCAAAATGCAAACAAAAAAGACAACTCTAATAATAATATGCACTGTCCTTGAATTTGATTGGTCCACACCCGAGACAGCTTTTCTTAGAGCCTAGTCTCCATTGGTGTTGGACCAGAAGACGCCAAAAGGGTCTTTCGGTAAAGTCACGGAGATAGGTTAAAATAAATAACAAATAAACTCGTAAAAAAGTTTTTTTAAACAACGATTTTAACACATTCCTGCGGAGGGAGGAGCTGGTAGGAACGTTGGGTTGCTCGGTCAATGGCCAGGGTCAATGGCGGCACCACGTGGTGGTGTATTCTGCAAATATGCCCGACTGTGAGTAGGCCTCGGCAAGGTAAGGTAAAAATAACGAGCCTACCTTTACCTTACCTTTTACCTTACCACAATACAATCACTCTACCCTACCTTTTACCCTTCAGCAGGTAAGGTAAAAGGTTAAAAGCAACGAGCTTACCTTTACCCCACCTTTTACCCTTACCCCATACAAATTACCCGATTACATGGTAATTACTGGGTTACTACACATGCACAAGGTTTATAACAGGTAAATGCTAGGTAGAGCGCTTTTATCATATAGAATGCTTTTGGTGATTCAAATTTTACACGCTTTCTTTTAACTCACTATGTTGTCGTATCCTCAAATCTTGTAACTCAATTTTAACCCACTTCCCAATGTGGTATTGACTGCAAACTTGGTATACTTATGTCATACTGATGACAATACTATAGTCTATCATTAAAAAAATATTTTTTAAATGTTCTTCTTTATGTCAGGTTTCGGCTCGGGTCTAATTGTCCACTGTCAAATGACGTTGGCTGTAATTGGCCACGGTCCCTTACGTTGTGGCAAGCTTCGGGGTCACTTCCTGGAGTCGTGGAGTTCTGCCATTACTCGTACATTTCATAAAAGCGTGTATTTAATTTTTTTTAAATATTACTTATTAAATGGAGGCCACGGACTGCGCCACGGAGCTTTTAGCGGTAAACAAGGCACCGTATTTACCGGGTAATACTTCGCGCTACCTTTACCCTACCGGGTAATTCTTCCACGCTACCTTTACCCTCCCTTACCCCTTGGCATGTCGACACCTTTACCCTTTTACCCGGTAAAAAAGGTAAATTACCTTACCTTGCTGAGACTTGACTGAGGGCGGGCACAAGCCGGCGTGAGTAGGTTAAACGTTGAGTTTTATAAGGGCACCACGGGGTGACCAGCCCCTCCCCACCCAGCCCCACCCCTCCCACCACCCACCCAGCCCTACCCCTCCCACCCCCAACCCAGCCCCCACCCTCCCCACCCAGCCCCTCCCCACCCTCCCCTCTCCACCCAGCCCCTCCCTCCCCCACCCTCCCCTCTCCACCCAGCCCCACCCCTCCCATTTTTGGATGCACGACGGACGGACACAATAATCCCCTGTGGGCTGGTGGTGTAACCAGGAGGTTCCTACACAGTATTAACAACTTCCTTTAACTCACGGTCGAGAAGGACGTCAATGGCGCCTGAGACACGCGGCGCCCGCGTTTTGTGCGAGCCGATTCCACAGTTTAGGGACCGCGGCGTTTTTGATCGACACTATATAAATAATAAATAATAAGGCGTGCATACAAATGTAAATTGCTTTAAAGTAAGCGAATTAATTGATTAATGATGCCGATTTTGATACGGCCATGCGTTGTCCCTGATCTGAGTAGGTGTGCAAAATGTGGAATTGCTTGGACAACGGGAAGTGGACGGAATTTTGATTACAAGATTTGACCACGACAAACAGAGGAATCAAGTTCAGTAAAACCGTAAAAAAACTACGACGTTTCGATCGCAACACAAGCGGCCGTCATCAGGAAAAGAAATATGAATTCCTGCAGTCACGAAAGCTTTAAGTCAATAATTATTGTTACTTATTATTACTGGAGATCCAGAGTCGAAATACTTATGACTGGAGGAATCCGATGAGCTACAAAGCTCCATACTCTTTGGTTCTTTCGGTAAAGTCACGTAGGTATAAAATAAAATAAATCACGGCGTTTCGATCGCAACACAAGCGGTCGTCCTCAGCTGTTCCACTGCTGGATTATATTTTTTCCGCCTGAGGACGACCGCTTGTGTTGCGATCGAAACGTCGTGATTAATTTCATTTCTACCTTCCGTGACTTTACCGAAAGAACCGAAGAGTATGGATTCCTGCAGTCACGAAAGCTTCAAATCAAAACTACAAAGCTCTTTTTTTTCACATACGTCCAGTAGTGGCACGTGGTTAAGAACGTTACAATAACAACCAATACAAACACGACAGGAGTGCAAAGTACAACAAAGGGAAACAAACCACCCAAAAACATCTCCAAATATATAAAAGGCAAAAGTTGTGAATGTGTCTGTTCAAAATGTTTAGCGTACTTCCCGACATGGAACAAACTGGAAATTTGCCATGTGGGTACTTTCCAGACTGTACACCATGCACACATGAAAATAGACTTTTTTGGGGGGGGGGGGGAGCTCAATAATGCATATTTTTTGCACGGCAAGTGAGCTGTGACGTCAAATCTGTCACGTGACCCACGCATGTGGAAGCGTAACGCAGTGTAGTGTAGTGGTGAGCGCGCCGCGCTATGGACCCGGCGACCCGAGTTTGATTCCCATTCACGGCCACCACCAGTGACGATTATTTTAACCGGTCCTGGGCCTCCCCTAGGTCGACTCAGCCTCAAACGAGCAACTGGTGTGGTGTGTGAACATCGCCACTGGGGAGATAAAGGCGGCCGGCCGTGGTGAATCCAAGTCCCGGGCGAAGCCGGGTAGTACAGCTTGTACAAAATAAAACCATCCCCATCCTGCCCAGGCAAACAAGTCCTGTGAGGTATAAACTCATTTTTCAGAAGCGGCCTCTCCATCACAAACGACAACTCAATGAAGTGGCCGAGCGTCTGGTTCATTGACAGAGGCCCTCCTCGCCTCGAATTCAACCGCATCGGACGTGGACTCGTACGCGAGTGCTTTGTGTAGCCACGATCTAGGGGATCAATAACATAGCCGTCAAGCGCCTACTATCACTGCTGCCTACCTCACTACAGACCAATTCAGACCTTATTGGTCCACCTGTGCCCCTTATAAATCTTAACGTTCATACTACAAAGTCCCACCGCATGGGAGAAACGCAAACAAATAGACAAAAATTATGGGTGTTTTTTTGCCCGTATTGAAACGGCTGTACGCCGTATGGACCTGCAAACTCTATTTCCCTGTACAAGAATCCGGGTATACCGTATGGGTTGACATCTATGCGAGACTATTGTAGAAGTGGCAATAGCAAGGATATTAAATAAATAAATAACGCCGTGGGATCGATTGGTTAAACTCGAGGCGAGCGAATCGATTCCGCGTCACGAGGGGTCCTCGCCAGGTCACGTGGCGAGGGATGGCTGCGTGAGGCTCGCAGGTCACACACGACTCAGCCCTCACTCAGCCCTCACCTCTCACTCAGCCCTCACCTCTCACTCAGCCCTCACCTCTCACTCAGCCCTCACTCAGCCCTCACCTCTCACTCAGCCCACACCTCTCACTCAGCCCTCACCTCTCACTCAGCCCTCACCCCTCACTCAGCCCTCACCTCTCACTCAGCCCTCACCTCTCACTCAGCCCTCACCACTCACTCAGCCCTCACCCCTCACTCAGCCCTCACCTCTCACTCAGCCCTCACCTCTCACTCAGCCCTCACCACTCACTCAGCTCTCACCCCTCACTCAGCCCTCACCTCTCACTCAGCCCTCACTTAGCCCTCACCACTCACTCAGCCCTCACCTCTCACTCAGCCCTCACCTCTCACTCAGCCCTCACTCAGCCCTCACCTCTCACTCAGCCCTCACTCAGCCCTCACCTCTCACTCAGCCCTCACCACTCACTCAGCCCTCACCCCTCACTCAGCCCTCACCCCTCACTCAGCCCTCACTCCTCACTCAGCCCTCACTCAGCCCTCACCTCTCACTCAGCCCTCACCTCTCACTCAGCCCTCACTTAGCCCTCACCACTCACTCAGCCCTCACCTCTCACTCAGCCCTCACCTCTCACTCAGCCCTCACTCAGCCCTCACCTCTCACTCAGCCCTCACTCAGCCCTCACCTCTCACTCAGCCCTCACCTCTCACTCAGCCCTCACTCAGCCCTCACCTCTCAGCCCTCACTCAGCCCTCACCTCTCACTCAGCCCTCACCCCTCACTCAGCCCTCACCCCTCACTCAGCCCTCACCTCTCACTCAGCCCTCACCCCTCACTCAGCCCTCACCCAGCACCATCATCCCTCACCCCTCACTCAGCCCTCACCCCCCACTCAGCCCTCACCGCCCACTCAGCCCTTACCTCTCACTCAGCCCTTACCCCTTACTCAGCCCTCACCACTCACTCAGCCCTCACCTCTCACTCAGCCCTCACCCCTCACTCAGCCCTTACCTCTCACTCAGCCCTTACCCCTTACTCAGCCCTCACCACTCACTCAGCCCTCACCCAGCACCATCATCCCTCACCCCCCACTCAGCCCTCACTCAGCCCTAAATCAGCCCTCACTGCTCACTCACCTCTCACTCATCCCTCACCTCTGACTCAGCCCTCACCCCTCAGCCCTCAGCCCTCACCCC